ACAAGTGTAGATTTAACAAGCTTGTATTTTATTTGATATATATCAAAAAGCACATTTCAAATGTCGAGAAAAAATTGATGAGATATGTCTGATATAAAAACATAACTTATATTGGGTTGAGATTTTATTTATGAACTCTATAAATCTATAATTATTGTGAACATCAATGACATATTGACCTTTAAATGCTAAGTTTTTACTTACTAACAGTGAAATACTTTCATCTTGTTTCGATTTTCGGTGTTTTTGGTGAAAATATCGATAGAAAATCAGCTGATTCATACAAAATCAAAACTCAACTGCAGGGTGACCGTCTACTGCTTCTTCTGTTTTCTAGCACATATGTAATAAATATTTTGTTTGCGAATTACTGACGTCTCCAAATTTAAAAACAGATTTTTTCTAAATATTTTGTGGTCATATAATATATATGTAACATGAACAATCATTTAAAGACGACGGGTTGAAATAACAGCTCATATTGTCCATCCCTAATTGCGACATCGACTAAAGCTATCGTTTATCGTTAATTTACCCATCTGACAAGTTATTCACTTTTTATTTTGTACAATTATTTGAAGAGTGGAGCGAACAGTTAATATCCACACATGTTTGCTAGTTAAAGTTTAAGAGATCAGACAGACAGCATTGAACATGGATACATCAACTAGGGACACACAGGTACGTGCAGGCTACAAAGTCATGAGCGAGCAAAAAGGGCAACGAAAGCAAAACAATGACGTCTCATTTACATAAATATGTACATGGATGTATATGTATGTATTTCTATATGCTTGCAGAAGAATCCAATTGAAGCTCTGAGTAAAGATGAACTCATCAACAAGTACAAAGGACTGATTGGTATTGCAAAAAAAGCTAAGCAGGCCAAAGATGGTAAGCCAATGTGGTAAAATCAGTATTGTCTCCTAAATTATATGCTTGTCTTATGAACAGAGCTCACCGAAGAGAATCGGCAGCTGAAGGAAGCATTGGCTAAGGCCGCCGCCAAACAGAGCAGTCTTCCCGCAATGCAGGAGATGCTGCAGGATTTCACCGACAAGAACCTTATTTTAACAGAGCAACTGAACACCCTTCAGCGCAGGGCCAAAGAGGATACCGATCGATTGGAACAATATGAAATTGAAAACGAGAGCCTAAAGCGTCAGCTGGGACGCCTGAGCGATGAAAATGATGATCTGCTTGCGGACATTGAGCGAATGGAGCAGGCTATGCAGCAGGTTAACGCACTTGGGAGCGAACAACGCAAGAATCTTGAACTTCTTGAGTTGGACATTTCCAAAATTAAAGAGGCCGAGGCACAAAATGACATACTAAGGCAACAGGCTGATAGTGCAGCAGAAGAGGCAAAACAACGAGGGTCTGAACTTGCCGAGCTCCAGCAAAAGTATGAGTCGGTTAAGATGCTTAACTCGGAGCAGCGAAAGAAGTTTAATTCACTCAAAGATAGGTTTATCGATGTGCATCGCAAACTCAAAAACGTGAAGGAGTGCAAGTGTGTGCTTCTCGAAACACAACACGAATACGCGGCTTCCGTATCCAAGTGGCAGCAGGAGATTATCAAAGCATCGCAACTACTCTGTGCCAAAATGACAGCGTTGCAGCAGGAAAATATGCAGCTAAAGAACCGGCTAGAGGCGCTAATAGCAAATAACCAAATCTCCGGTCATAACAAGCAGTTCTTGCAAAAAGTTTGTGAGCTGGAGCGTTTGTCCAAGCTGGTAAAGAAGGAGCATCGGGAAAATCACCATCCACAGACGACATTAGACGTTGATCGTGTACTTGCCAAGTTGAACTGCGTGGAGCAGCTGGCAAACGTTGTTAGGGGGCAACAGATCTCACTGCAAACTGTAGAGACTGTTAGCACTTTCAATGTAGACTACTTTAATTCAAAGCTCAATCAAATGCAGAGATTGACTCAGGCATTGCGGGAAGAGCGCGGTCGACAAGAAAGCTCATTGAAGATAATGAAGCTACAACACGAACGCGAGAATGCGCAACTGGAGGCAAATTGTGTGGAGTTGCGGCAGCAGAATGAAGATTTGCAAACGCGCTTTCAACTAAAAGAGCACGAGCATGCCGATTTGCTGGACGAGATGCGTGAGCTGAATGAGGCGTTAAAGGCGCGTGGCGATGTCATTTCACGCATGCAGGAGCAGCATGATAAGAGTCACAAGGAGTTGCAAACGATAACAGAGAATCTAACTGAAAAGTCAAAGCAACTGGAAGAACTCCAGAGCAAAATTGAGGAACTGGATCAACAGGAGCAACTTAATGGGGATGCACAAAGCGATGTGCTGTCTATCTCTACCATTTCACGAGCTGAGGAGCTGAGTCGCTTGCGTGAACTGGACGATGGATATGAGGAGAAGTACAATAAGATGCGCGCGTTAGCGGCAAAGTTAAAAAAGAAACTACAGGAACAGGCACAGCAAATTAAAATCATGGAGCAAACAGGAGCAGCTAAGCTCGAAACCGAAGTGGAGGCCATTAAAACAGCGCAGGCGCAGCTTCAACAAGATTTGAATGCAGCACGAGCCGAAAACCAAAAACTGAAATACAAGGAGAAGTCAAAGAGCTCGAATGTATTGAGCCTGGAAATTGACGCCGCTGAGAAATCTCTGGCCGAAGTGAGTTCAAAACTATTGGCCAAGACAACAGATCTGGAAGCGCTCAGGGACACATTGACTATCAAGGAGAACACCATTACCCAGCTTCGTCAGGAGATAATCATTTTGGAACAGGCCCAGAACGGGGAGGCAGCACATAGCAAACAGCTAAAGCAGGAAATTGATCGCATGCAAACACAGCTAAAGGATGCTGTGCATGGCAAACAGGAGGCTCTTTCTGCGAAAAAGGACCTGGAGCAGAGCGTTGAGAAGCAAAAGCTGCAGGTCGATGAAATGCAACTTCAGCTAGCTGAGAACACTCATAAATACGAGACCCAGCTCAAGCACTTCCAGGAGCTGCTAGCAGACAGCATACAACAGCTAGAAATGCGACAGGACGCTTTTAACCAACTGGAGGCGACTTTGCGCCAAGCCGAACGCACCAAAGAGCAGCTCCAATCGGAGTACTCCGACTACAAGCTTAAGGCACAGTCGGTGCTACGCAAGCAGCAAAACCGCGATACGGATAAAGAAAATTCCCTTGAGGCAGAATTGGCCACGGTGCGTGCTAATGTTCAGAAACTGCGCACCAACAATGAAGAGTGTGCACTGCGAATTACTCATCTAGAGTCGCAATTAGATAATCTTCAGCGAGAGAACACGAAACTGCTGCGACGCAACCAGGAAATGATTGCGATGGTCGATGAGATGCGGGAGCAAAATGAGACCCTGACACTGGAAAATCAGAGACAGCTGCAACAGCAACTGCAGCAGCACCGGCTCCAGATTGAGCAAATGGACGATGTGCATCAAGTGCGTGTCGCGCAGTTGCAGCAACAAATTGAACAGTTTGAGAAGGCGGCCAAAGCCAATCAAGTTCTCCCCCTAGGACCCATGATAGCAACTGTAGGCGTCGAGTCTACCAGCCCAGAACAGAGCAAAATCGATTTCCTGTTGGATCACGATAGCAGTGGGGAAACACTTGCACAGTTGGCAGCACAACGCAAAATTTCCACTGCTTCGCGTCGTTCCCACGATTTTATGCCACTGGATGAACTACTGAATACATCTCTGAATGCTATTAATAGCGATACGGTGACAATGATTTCCCATTTCGGACGCAGCGTCAGCTTGCAGGACGATGATTTAGAGTTGGATGCAGGATGTAGGGAAACTCAAGCGGCACTGTTAGCCACCAAAGAGCGTTTGAGCATACAGGAGAGCCGTGTGCGTCATCTGACCGCCCTGCTAGCAGAAAACGAACAGGATCTGGCCAAGCTAACCCAAATGAATGATATGCTCAAAGAGGAACTTCGCCGTCAGGAACGATCCGAAGAGCGGGAACAGCACATGCACAACTCAGAATATCTTAAAAACGTATTCCTAAAGGTAAGCTTTTGTTTATAAACTATTACATCACTATCATACAAATCGCTTAATTCCCAAATGAAGCGAACCCGGTTTTTTGTTGATAGTTTTTTTTTTGTGGTGAATAGTTTTTACAAATGTGTGTAGTATAAAGGTAATAGAAAATATAATCCTACAAATACAGTTTATCACATTGACTAATTCTGATGAGCGGCAACGCTTGGTGCCAGTACTGAATACAATTCTACGGTTGAGTCGCAACGAGGTGGATATGCTTAACTGTGTGGCTAAGGGACAGAAAGGTAAATTGAAAGCTAAAACCATTTTCGTTATGATTCTTAATAATATATTTGTCACTTAGTTTCTAATGAGGGTAACAATCGCAGCTGGACTGGTTTTTTGAGTGCGTGGAGTGGAGGCGGGAACACAGCGAACAACAATAATTAACTGACTCCTGCTATTTGGCTTTAATGGTATTATACTTTGTAAGGGCGATGCAGTCGCCCTTATTGGCTAGTTTATCTCTATATGTACTATATATTGTGTAAATTTTGTATATGGTTGTTGTCACCAAAATTGTATTTATGTATTTTTAAAACGATTCTGTTGAACTTCTGATTTAGTGCTGTCCTTTAAATATGTATATCACATAGAGCGCCCTATACAACACTCTATAACCAATATATATATATGTAAAAAAACATTTCTTTGTTATTTTTTAAACGATGGCCAAATATCAAAACGAGAATAGGAAATATAACAAGTGCGAATGTTATTTTGTTATGCAAATTGCATTTGTAGATAGTTTAATTTCAAATTCTATTACCATTAAGATCAGACTATAAAATCAATGCTTGCGTTTTGTGTGTATGTATAAACTTAAAAATCAATTATGTATATTGTATGTATATATCTTTAGACTGTATAAATACCATCTAAAATTGGCTAAAACTATTCGAAGTTTATGCATACATTTACACTTATTAATTGTATAAATCAAACACAAAGATTATACAATTTTTATAACTAAACAAAAAGTCAAAATCAGCAGAGAAATAAAAAATCACATTTCGCACATCGCAGCCACGACGGCGACAAGGCTAAAAACAAAGTATACTATTGCCTAAATACTCGTACTAATCAGTGTTGTGACAGCCCTGTGGAATTATTGCCAAACCCCCGCATAGTTGCCCACCAGTGTAGCAGGAAGGGGCCCACCAGCCGCAAACAGTCGCATCCGAGTGCTGTCATAGCAGTGCGTGTAAATGGCAGGCACATATTTCACCTGCTGGAACCCGTCCATTTCATCCTCCGGATACTACAACATCGAAGCAATTAAATGAAATATAAGTTCTTTGCTGTTAACTACATACCACAATGCCTTTGCTGCACTTAAGCGCCACGGTGCGCGAAGCATTAACGCTGCTTTCTAAATACTTTCCAGCACGTATGTCATAGAAAAGTAACATGCCCAGCCCGGTTCCCACCGTTAAAAGATTACCCTCAAAGGATGTGGCGCGTATGCCACAACCACTGTAACGGGATGTGATCTTTTTGATCGTCTGTAGCGTGCGTGCATCTAGCAGAATCGTGTAGGAGCGACAGCCGACAGCGTAGAGCCCATCGCTATGATACGCAATACTTACATTGTCCTGGCAGTTAGGGAGCTTGCGTGAGAGTGTTTGCTTGAAGGTCTCTGCATTAAAGATGTGTATATAACCGTTAAGGGAGAGCGCTGCGATCTCTTTGAACTCTTTGTTGAAACACAACGATCGTATCTGCAAATCCGCTTATCGAACAGTTAGGGACACATTTCTTATTTGTATAAAACAATTTCTTACCCGCTGCGCGGTGCGCACTTCCTTAACACTCAGCGGATGTATAGTGGCAAATGTGGGGCAAGATTCCTCTCCGCCGTCAGGAAAGTCCATATGATCTTCGTTGATGCGCCACAGAGCCATGCGAGAGTCTTTGGAGCCCGAGACAAGAAACTGATCATCCAACCAGCACATTCCCATAATCAAGTCTCGATGCCCGCTTTCTCCTACACAAACTGGATCCAGTGTGGGCAACCGGTACACGGCGATATCAGATGAATTACGTGCACCAGTGGCTAAAAATGACCGACTGGGTGACAGTTCAATTGCATGCAAGCCGCCTTGGATCTCTGGATGATTGGCACGACTATTAGAAAGAGTAGGTATGGCATCCACACGACGCATATTCACATCATAGACAAGCAGCTTATTGCACTTGGTGCCGAACACCACCTGACGGTTACTCAGCCATTTGGAGCAAAATACCTTGTTGATGTAACCTAAACTGATTTGCGTTTCGCGCAACATATCGTGGGTGAGCACATAGCGACTGGTGTATTCCGCATTGACGCTGCGACGCTATATAAGTTGAAAGTTCATTAGCAACTGGAAGACTTTTATCTACTTTGAACTCACATCGCGTAATGAATTCTCCCTGCTTCGCAGATAGTCGCACAAATTATAGGAGGTGTTGAGGACCTCGTCCTGCTGTTGAGGAGTCTCCTCGTCGCTGCCAGAATCCTCGTAGGTAACGAAGTCGTCTGGTTTGTCTGGCTTCCGCCTTCGTTCCTGTCGCATCGCCCTCTGCTTAGCCCGACGCTCCTCCAGACGTGAATTCACATGACAGGATGGGTAGGTGCCTACAATGCTATCACGTATGGTTTTCACCATGCCATTGAACATTTTTACTGCGATGTATTCAATCCTATTACTTATATTCCTAAAAAGTATTTTTAGTGATAATTCTCCATTGTCCAAACAAAAATGGTGGTGCGCGAGTATCGATTAAAGCAATCAGGCTTATTTAAGCGATAGATGAAATTTCGATAAGCGATTACTGAACTGAATTTCAGTGCTGCACATTCCAGTTCAATATTAGATGGTTCATTTAGAAGAGGAACACATCTACTCATATATCTTTTAATAAAAAATTGTAATTTCAACAATGTTAGTAGCAATTTCTATAGCAGCTCATATACATGCCTTACCACAGTATCTGTTTCCCATGCGAAAGTCTGACAATAGAGTTCATTGAACAATATACATTTACTGTGTGTTGATAAATATTGTAATATATGATATCGAAATATATTGAGCTTAAGCCAATCGACAATTTATAACAAAAATTAGCTCTATTTGCACATTTTTCGTTGGTGTTCCTATGTAAGTACTTATGAGATGCCAGTGATAGCACAGTATTATCACATACATCCGTCATCCAAGTTAAGGTTCATTTCGTTCACCCATATTTGTGGTTCATTATTGCATCCCTTATAAACACCATTTGTATTCTTCTCGATTTTATATAGTTCCTTTAGTTCATTTTTCGTATACTTGCCATGTTTATATACAAATATTACCTCGAAAGGACTTAATGCAAACGAATATTCTTGTTTACGCATCACCATGAACTATCAAACCAAGCGTATGATGCGGCAAAATTCTGTGTCCATTGCGGCCAGTGAGGTGGGCAGCGTCGCATCGCCTATTATAGCATCGACATCGACTACGCCTAGTGCTCCACAGTTGCAGAACCTTGAAGACAACAAACCCGTGCACGTGCATCGTCAGGTGATACTGGTACAGGGTGGCAACGTGTCGCAAGCGCAACACCAGCAGCTGCAATCAGTGACAACAACGGCACCCAACCAAAATGCAAACATGGCCGCTATCCAAATTGCGGACGATGCACCCGTCTCGTTGCTAACAGAGATTGCAGACATAATGCGAAGCTTTGGCGACAGCGATCAGCCGCGAACTGCTAGCGTCAAGCTGGTGGAACAGATCCTGCAGCAGCAGCTACGTGGTATTTTCAATGAAGCCTCACTAGTGGCTATGCGCCGAAAACAGAACCCCTGTCCCTCGCAAGCGGACTTTGAGTTCCTGATGCGTAACCATCCCGTGAAGATAGCGCGCATGCGGAAACATTTAAAGGACATGCGTATACTGAAACGATTTCTGAGCATCCGTACCGGTAGGCCACAGGATTTTATGGATGACCTGGAGCAGCCGGAGGAGGACGAAGAGCTAGCCATTGAGGTACAGGAGCTACACGATGAGGATCGCATGCGTCGTCTGTTTCGCGCTGATCGCATTTCTCAAATACTCACTGGCCAGCAGTATCTCGAGTTCAACGAAGCCCGAAAAACTTCATTCTACTGCCGACACGGGGAAAAGATCAAGAACAAGTTTAGACGATTTCTGGACTTGCCCGCCGATTTGCGTATTCCCACTCCCACGATGAATATTTTGGCCTATTTGGCGCACGAGACTATTGCGGCTATTGTGGACTACTCGATACTGACCCGGCTGAATTCAGATAACCGCGCCACAGAGCCATACAGCCGTGTCACCTCAGCCGGAGGTAGTCCAGCAATGATGCATGTATGTCCAGAGGTGACACAGGGTCGCGGCATGGAGGTGGTCAAACCCATAAGCGTGCAAGAAATACACGAAGCAATGCGTCGATTTCGACAGATGAGCAATCGCAAAATTGGTCGCTATCGCAACTCCTGTGACATTGATTTCCGGCGCAGCTTTTTGGCTATTTAGTAGATATTGATTTTAAATACTTTAGATATAAATTAATCAAGCTATGTCCGCCTAGAGTTCTGACGGGCAGTGTAAAATAAAAGGGAAAATGAAAACTATTTACTGCTAAAAGTGTTCATATTTCATTATCAGATAATTGAGGTATGTAATTTGTAACAAAAAACTTTCTTTGGATTCTAGTTTCATGTAAGGTAACTTAACCTGAAATATAAACCTCTTCTAGCTGATGGGTTTCGGTACATAATAACAAATATTAGCAGTGCATAAAAATATTTCAATATTTCGAATGTATGGATATAAATCTCCCATATTATTCGCTTTGAACTATATTTCTACAATCGTTGAATTCTTGTTTGCGTCGGAATGAAATTAGAGATTGGACTTGAACGATAAAAGTTCAAGCAGCCCACTACAATTCATTACTAATAATTGCAAATACGTCGCAATTAACAAATTAAGAGAGTTTAAAGAAAATACAAAGTTATTAGTATATACACATACATAAATAGGCAAAAGCTTAAGCGTGGAGGTTAATAATTTATAATATATACAGAAATTTGCTGCAAGAATTTACACAAGCATACATATATTTCTAATAATCACAAACATTTTTATTATACTAATAATCACTGAGCATGTGATAATTGATAACCCTCTAACGCGCAAAGCGCTAAAATTGTGTTACACCTGGTCAGGAACTCTCTTATTAATCTCTGTTAGAAAATATGTATGCAAAATAATATTACCCGTATAACAAAGCCAATTTTAAAAGCAACAACTATTAAGCTAAGCATACGCTCAAAATAACTTAATTTATTTACGTTTTTTCAATAAGCTTTCTGAAAGCTTTTGAGAATTTGATTTGGTTCTCCCACAATAAGACTGTGTGCAAACATAAAAAGCTTGCGGACTGCTGGCATTCTATTAATTGATCATAGCGAAAAATTAGTTTAATTTTCGAGTCAAGCAGGTGAAGACCGCGGCGAGCGCAAAATGTTAAAAGTACGCAGTTACTTGGCCATAAGTCAGTCACACAAAGCGGCCCATGCCCTATATGCATGCGCGATTACAGACCAGGTGAGGGTGAGATACACTTGATAGATTAAATATACTTATAATAATTTTTTTTAGCGTTGTCAAAGTACTGCAGCTGCAGTTAAGGAGCCAAGTGCCGCTAGAGATGATGTCGAGTGGCAACAGGCACGGCCCTATGAGGATGTTCCGTATGCCAATCCGCTTTCGCTAACCTTTAACATGGCATTTCCCGGAGGGAAATATAAAAATCTGGATTTATCCCAACTGATATTGGCAATGCGTAGAGACTATGGTGAAATCTTTCGAATTCCAGGCATTTTTGGAAGCGATCCCGTGTTGACCACATATAATCCAAAGGACTTTGAAGTTGTCTTTCGTAATGAAGGTGTGTGGCCGCATAGACCAGGCAGCGATACCATGAGATATCATCGCGAGAAGCATCGAAGGGATTTTTTTCAAGGTGTCGAAGGGTTAATACCTACCCAAGGTAAGGCGTGGGGTGAATTTCGCAGTATTGTAAATCCAGTGCTAATGCAGCCGAAGAATGTAAGACTCTACTACAAGAAAATGTCACAGGTCAACTGCGAATTTGTTGATCGGTAAGCAGATCAGCTTTACATTTTCACCCAACATTATTGTAGCTTAAATACAAATTCTTACGAACGTTTCTTCCAGTATCAAAGCAATAAGAAATCTCAGCACGCTGGAGGTTCCGGACAATTTTATAGAATATATAAACAGTTGGACTTTAGAGTCGGTCTCCGTTGTCGCGTTAGACAAGCAGCTCGGCCTCCTGAAGGACTCGCACACTGATGAAAACGCCAAGCTTCTCTTTAAAAGCTTGGATGAGTTCTTTACCTATGCCGCCGTTTTAGAAGTACAACCATCACCTTGGCGCTACATTCAGACCCCAATGTTGAAGAAGTTGATGAATGCCTACGACAACATACAGAAGGTGACCCTGGCTTACGTGAATGAGGCACTGGATCGCTTGAACGCGGAGGCGCAGAGGGGCGTAGTGCGACCCGAAAGGGAACAGAGTGTACTCGAGAAATTGCTGAAGATAGATAAGAAAGTGGCTATAGTCATGGCCATGGACATGCTAATGGCCGGCGTCGATACCGTAAGCAGATACTTAACTAATACGAATCAAATTTCATTTAAATTTTTCTTAGACTTCAAGCACTTTTGCCGCACTGATGTTGTCAATTGCGACCAACCCGAATAAGCAGGATAAGTTGCGCGAGGAAATCATGCGCGTACTCCCCAATAAAGACTCGGAGTTCACAGAGGCATCCATGAAAAATGTTCCCTACTTGCGCGCCTGCCTCAAAGAATCGCAGCGACTGCTGCCCCTTGTGATTGGGCATGCGAGGACAACTATTCGTGACTGTGTTTTGAGTGGCTATAGGGTGCCAGCAGGCACATTTGTCTCCATGGTTCCCCTAAATTCGCTTACTAGTGAAAAATATTTTCCCCGACCATTAGAGTTTCTGCCAGAACGTTGGATGCGCAATGAGACGGGTTCAGAGGCCAAGTGCCCGGCAAATCCTTTGAAAACAACCAATCCCTTTGTGTTTTTGCCATTCGGTTTTGGGCCTCGCATGTGCGTAGGTAAACGCATTGTGGATATGGAATTAGAACTCGGCGTTGCTAGGATTATAAGAAATTTCAGGGTTGAGTTCAACCATTCGACGGAGAATGCTTTTCGGTCGGTACTTATCAATAAGCCCAATATACCACTCACGTTTAAGTTTACTGACTTGAAAAATTAATGACTTGAAAAATTAAATACTGCCTAAAATAATAATTGATAGCTGTTACGCATTTAATAATTCAGCCAAGCACAAATCATTAATCTTTTTTTTGTACATATATGTAAATACACTTTGTGATGAAATAATCGTGCCTTTTCTTTAACACTTTGGCTACCCAGGTTTCATAAAGTCAATAGCATATAGTATAGGGGGTACAGACTGTCGCGGTTTGACTTCCTACTTGTTTGCATTTTCTGGCAAGTCGTTAAAATAAAAATTTCTACACGCATTTTTGCAATCGTGTTATAGCACGCACCCCCTATACATTTTTCATATAACAAAGTTATAATAATAAAAAAATAATAACGCCATCACTCGAAACGCATTGAAGAAGTTGTATTAATAGCTTATCTGAGAAATTTGTATTAAAGTGATTTTTATTTCCACTGCGATAAGAACTGCATTTATTTTTTTTATAACATTTTTTTGTTTGCTCGCCGTTTGATACGTGCTGTGATTTCAACTTGCGAAATACGATTGAGCATGCTGTGAATAGTTTCATCTCTATATATAAAACTGTTTGTCCTGACTGATTGACTGACTGACTGACTGATTGGTGATCAACGCACAGCCCAAACCGTAAGAGCTAGGAAGCTGAAATTTCCACTGTAGCTACCTTATGTGATGTAGGTGCACGTTAAGACGGGGTTTCGGGAAATTCCACCCGCAAGTGTGGAAAAATCGCGAAAAACGTTTGTATGTAACTCTTTTGTTTACCATCCGATCGGCCTCAAACTTATGTTCAAAGATCTTTGTTCAAATTCATTTGAGGGGTGCTTCACACTTTTAGGAAAATCCGTTCCTCCTTGGTGGAAATGGAGGTCAAAGATTTGGTGGGTGACGATTCGCGCTCAAATTCATTTTCAGAGATCTATAAGAAAAATCATTTGAGACGTGTTTCACACTTTTCGCAGAATTCAAACTTCTTCGGAGGGAATGCGATTTAAAGATTTTTTGGGCGAAGTTTTAAGTTGTCTCCGATTTGCTTCAAACTTATTTTCAAAGCTCTACATAAGAACTTAATAAATACGTATATTAGCGATTTGAGAAATTCCACCCGTAACAGTGGTAACTTAGCGGAAAACGGTTGTATGAACGTTTTTTGTTTACGATCCGATCGGCCCCAAACTTATTTTCAAAGATCTTTGTTCAAATTCATTTGAGGGGTGTTTCACACTTTTCGAAAAATCTGTTCCTCCTTGGTGGAAGTGGAGGTCAAAGATTTGGTGGATGACGTTTTGTGTTCAAATTCGTTTCCAAGGATCTATAAGAAAAATCATTTGAGACGTGTTTCTCACTTTTCGCAGAATTCAAACTTCTTCGGGGGGAATGCGATTTAAAGATTTTTTGGGCGGCGTTTTTAGTTGTGTCCGATTTGCTTCAAACTTATTTTTAAAGCTCTTCATAAGAACTTAACAAGTACGTATTTCAGCGATTTGGAAAATTCCACCCGCAACAGTGGTAAATTGGCGGAAAAAGGTTGTATGAAAGTTTTTTGTTTACCATCCGATCGACCCCAAATTCATATTTAAAGATCTATGTTTAAATTCATTTAAGGGGTGTTTCACACTTTTTGAAAAATCCATTCCTCCTTGGTGGAAATGGAGGTCAAAGATTTGGTGGGTGACGTTTCGCACTCAAATTCATTTCCAGAGATCTATAAGAAAAATCATTTGAGACGTGTTTCACACTTTTCGCAGAATTCAAACTTCTTCGGAGGGAATGCGATTTAAAGATTTTTTGGGCGAAGTTTTAAGTTGTCTCCGATTTGCTTCAAACTTATTTTCAAAGCTCTACATAAGAACTTAATAAATACGTATATTAGCGATTTGAGAAATTCCACCCGTAACAGTGGTAACTTAGCGGAAAACGGTTGTATGAACGTTTTTTGTTTACGATCCGATCGGCCCCAAACTTATTTTCAAAGATCTTTGTTCAAATTCATTTGAGGGGTGTTTCACACTTTTCGAAAAATTTGTTCCTCCTTGGTGGAAATGGAGGTCAAAGATTTGGTGGATGACGTTTTGTGTTCAAATTCGTTTCCAAGGATCTATAAGAAAAATCATTTGAGACGTGTTTCTCACTTTTCGCAGAATTCAAACTTCTTCGGGGGGAATGCGATTTAAAGATTTTTTGGGCGGCGTTTTTAGTTGTGTCCGATTTGCTTCAAACTTATTTTTAAAGCTCTTCATAAGAACTTAACAAGTACGTATTTCAGCGATTTGGAAAATTCCACCCGCAACAGT